ATATGATTTTATTATATTTTTTTTCATGTTTAGATACGGTTTATCTACATAATAAAAGCAATTCCAAAAATTAGGAAACATCCCCATTGTACGGTATCCAAGATAGTACCAAATCAACACTGCACTTTTATTCTGTCATAAAAATGTACAGTTCACAGATCTCTCAGTTTTTTTGTTTGCCGTATACGGTAAAAAACTATATCTAAGATGGTACAGCGTTAACGTGAAGAATTTTCCGTTTCTACGTCTTAAAAAGCTCAACATATGCTCAACATATGCTCAACATTGCATTTTTCTGAAGCAACGTTGAGCAATATATTAATAACGTGTTTGTCTGGTCTTGATAAAACGAAAAACAGCGCAGTAGAGATAAAAATGTGACGGCACACGTACTGCATTGCTATTCGTTTGATATGAGTGGGATAAACACGTGTTATTTTAGCATTTATAGTTATTTTATACTAGTTTACAAAACACCATGATTACGATTGCACTAAACGGTATATTTTTGCATAACTATATATACTATATTTTTGCATACTTTGGAAAATATATTATAAAAACAATGATATTAGACGAGCTGTAGCCCGCAAACTTTGTTAGCGCAAATTTGGACCACTCGTTACGCCATTTTGACATTGCAGAATTAAAAAAATATGCCCTATAACATGCCCGGTCATGTCAGCTACCCTCCAGTGGAAGCCCCGTCGAAATCGGCCCAGCCGTTTCGTAGATTACCGGGAACTAACGCGGCTTGTGGACGGACAGATAGACAGTCAGACAAAAAAAATGTAAATGCGATTTTCGTTATCAGCATCGCAAATACACCATCTTTCCGAAATCTGGAATTTTTCTTTTGATATTACAAACAGCCACTCCAATTTTATTATATGTATAGATATATGTATGTATACTTTTAAGATAAATTGAAAAACAAAACTTGAAATGCGATAACTTTTTTGTTATTTAAAGCAAACAAGAACAGGTTCAACGATAAATATAGTAATTTACCTGTTCAGTGAGTTTTGCACACTTTTCGATAATCAACATTCGGAATATTTCGAATATGTGGTTATAAAAAGTATCTTTTTATAATACATTTAAATAAGCAACAAATCACGGAGAAAAAAAATGTCCGATCAGGTTTTAATATCAAGTCTTAGAAACGTTTCTTTCCTTAAATCACTATTGCTTTGAAATACCCGGTAAATATGAGAACAAAATTATCTTTCAAAGAATAGGGGTAAAAAAATTTGTAAAGCTGTGTCATTTATATCTAAACTAATATTACAAAGAGGAAATATATGCATTTTTGTATGTATAGAAATAACTCAAAAAACTACTGAGCCGATTTCAAAAAATTTCTCACCATTAAAGAGCTACGTTATCAACGAGTAACGTTGGTCACATTTTTTAATTTCTTGAAATTAAAATATATGGCCTATATTCTTGAATATAGCGGGCAAAGTCACGAGCAACAGCTAGTACAGAATATTTCAAAGCTATGCAAATAATGAAAGTAGCATGAATCAACAGTTTAATCCATGCATGATATAATTGTCCACACATGACATCACTGGCCGAATGTCAAGGTCATATCGGATTATTTACGCAGACTCCTTCACTACTTTATTACACAGGTTATTTTGACGAATACTAGGGTAAATACTGGGAGATGATCTATTTCTCTGCGTCCCCTCCTCTGTCTTTCCTACTTATCCGTAATCTGTGTAAATGTCTGTGCAACGGTCGCTTTGACTTTTAGCAAAATCTTTTGAACCTTGCTGAATCAACGAATCATTTTTTATGTTAATAAGCTTTTGCCGAAATGGCAAAGCGACAGCTGCCCATAGACATTCGCAGCTGCGGATGCGCTGCCTACTCTTAATCGACAGAGGAGACGCACAAAAAAGAGGTTATTTCAACTACCTATACGTCGTTACGAAAAGGGTGGTAAGGGTAAGGGACTAAAATCATTGTACAAATAGCGGAATAATAGAGAAGTGTTACATATCGAAGCAGATATCAAGTAGATAATTGACAGGCGGATATGCGCATTATCCCGAGCTATAACTGTTGCCCGCATCCATTGTGATCCCATTCACCGCCCGAGTAAGGAATTAGGCGCAATAATACCTTACACTTCCCTTGACATCGTTCCCGACTCAGTATTGGTCAGTCGTACGTCGTTCACTCATTGAATGAACTAAATCACCGTTAGTCAAATAGAAACAAATCAATGATGAAATTGCATCACAATCGTATACGCCGTTTTATACAAAATATGTTTCTGTAGAAACTTTATTTTTTGGTTAGGGTTTAGAGATATAAGAGATTATAGATATATTTTTTTAAGATTTAGATTTAGATTATAGATTTATAAGAGCAGTATTGAAATAATTGTCGGTCTCTATAATGCTAGAGTTCACATGGATAGATGGATGAATGTTTGTTAGAATTTATAGCCTAAACTGCTGAACGGATCACGATGAAATTTGGCATAGATGTAGAGAATAGTCTTGATATTGCTTGCGGACTAAAGCTGGTTTGTAATAATCTCTAGATACATTTTGACAACACTATTTCAAATGTCACATTGATTATAACAACTTGTACGTTAGTTGACAATCAACTAACGCCCTTGTACCTCCTGAGTGAACGGTGTTAATGTTAAACCTTCATAAAATCTAATACACTAAAGTTTTATTTTTAATAATCCCTTACTGATGAAGACGGAATACGATTCGTGATTCCAGCAGGTTTCTATTCCTTTTTTCGATCTGATATACGGCGTCACTCGATTAAAACCTCAATGTATTAAATTGAAATGAAACATATCTACGTATATTGCCCACTATAGGAAAGATTTAATGCTTTTCTTTCAGTTTTCAATCCTCACGAATGGGGGTAGAATGTTCGCTTTTGCAAATAAGTTTATTTTAATGATTTTACATCTGCTTGTTAGTTACAAAAGATATCTGTAGAAGAGCTAACAATTGGCGTCGTTTGACGAAAGTTATTTTATTCAGAGAGGTTATTTTCAAATGCAGTACATCTTAGACAAACACAAGGAAAACCCACAAGTGGCAATGGGCTATCGTTAAAGAAAGGAAACCGAGGAGGAAAAAAATAAAGTAATATCTCATGCCTTAACATGTAAAGTAGAAACTATGTAACTTTTTATAGACAAAAAAGTTCTTATTTTTTTTTTTCATTTCGATCGTATTGTGCTCTTAACGCTAGGACGGTTGGTAGACTTGGAGATGCAGTGTGTACATAGCTGTAATCGTAACAATAATATTGAGCCTCGTACAGTGATACATTTAGCACAACGTGAACTGTTATATCGTGTACTCTGCTGACCTTTATAGCGAAAACGAAAACACGAATATCTTCCACATTATACCCATAAGAAAAAAAAGGTGTCGCAATGGATTCAAATAGAAAAAAAAACAATTAAAAACTTTTACTGCCTAATTTTTTTTGACAAAAATAAAACCAAATTTTATTTAATCTAATTAGATTTCGCAAACAAAACTGCATCTCGCTAAAAATTGGCACCATTTTTAAAATTAGAATCATGTAAGATTGCAAGAACTACTAAAAGTCGACGGTCGTATTCCATTTTTTTAAACCATTGAACATACAAGTATCTCAGACTCTGTAGATTAGATTGTTTTAACCACTGCAAATCTAGTTTTCTAGAAAGTAGGCCGTACGACCTATCAGTATTTTCCGGCTTCTTCAATATTTCAATATCAGAACCTTTTTATATTGAAACCGGTTCTTTACTGAGATTATCAGTCTATTTATATGTATGGTTCATTATAAAGTAAATAAAAACTAATTTTCTCAGATTAGTAGGCTAACTTCTGTGAAGCTATTTTGTGTTGCACATGCGTTAATAAACTTTGAATTTAGAAAGTTGTACTTACTCAGAACAGAAAAGTCCGTAATTACATCCATTTTTCATAAAGCCACTAATGTTTTTGTTTTCACTTTGAATGGGTGTTTTAACCTGTCACCCATTTCTTTTGCACTATTTTGTGTCACAAATCCTGCGCAACGCGTCACCTATGCACTGATACATAATTAATAACACCACTTTAACCCCGCGATATCACAGCCTGGACATTTTTCCGTGTTTGTATTCAATTCAATGTGATACAATCGCTGAACTATCACACTGGATTCATTCACCTCGTCGGGTCGTGCAGTTTCAAATGTCAATTATCAACTGTTAGTGCCAAAAACTCGTATAAAGTACCGTTACGAAATATATCAACGACTTGAGCACAATTAAAGTGTTATTTCACTTAAATATTTTCGTAATCAAACTACAGCGTCGTAAGAATTCTTCTCAAAACTCCCACGGCATAAAAACAGTGGCGAAACGTCACCCCGACTAAACAGGTTTTGTTTTTTTCTTTTGAACAGGTTCTACCACGTGATCAATAATATCGACGTAGTTCGCTGATTCGCCGCTAGATGGCGCGCAACAATTTAAAAGCTGAGAAAATGTAATTAAAAATCAGATTAGCCACATTATTTTTCCGTATCAAACTAACCGTGAAAGTTTTATTAGCGTTAAAAATTCCTTTGAAATAGAATCTTTTATGTTGATTAGAAGTTATGATAGATTTATAATAGGAACTGTAATTATTACATGATTTTTTTTATAAATACATTGGTTGGACATATTTTATTAAATTTAACTTGAGGGTAGTCGAAAATTATGTATTGCAATAATACCTGCCTATTACCTTATTTACATTGAGGGATATTTAATAATTGAATAACTTCTTATTGGAAACAATACAGTGATGATGGATAGAAGGAGATTCTACTTTAGTACGGGAACTAATGTGTAAGTAATACATTTTTATAAACAAACTAGCTGTTGCCCGCGACTTCGTTCGCGAGGAATTCTCACTAATAACGTAGAATTTTTTTGAAATTGGCCCAGTACTTTTGAGTTATTTCAATGCATACAAAAGTACAAATCTTTTCTCTTTAGTATAGAAACGTCAAGGAAAACAACCTAGATATATAACTAGAAAGGAAATTGTTTGGAAATTACAGTATCACCATATTATTAGTTCGAAAAAAAATATTCACCGCGACCAAATACAACCATTGACGCCAAAATGGTGAGAATCAAATAGATACGAAATACCACAGTTAACAGCCTGTCCATTTATAGTGGTCTGTAAAGAAAATGCACCAAAATGTAGACCATAGACTGAAATTATCCCATCGATTTTTATACTTTTACTAGTTGCCATAGCAACAGTTTGACAAACTAAACCTTTAGATTTTAACTTGGGTAATTTTGCGAATTGTTTTAAATAATCGAATATAAAATCGATCTTTTTAACAATTTTTGCACAACTACAATTTACTCCTGAAACTTTTAGACGTATTTCGGTTTAGTTAATGACATTTTATTTCTCACGTGCTTTACGCTTTAGCGTATTTCTTTATCCTTTTGAACTCTGATAATGTATTTAAATAACCTTTGGTCATAAACCAGAAAGTGTTAAGAATGAATGTGGATGGCTACAAAGGAAGGGCAAGACCGAAGAAAGTATGGATGGATTGTGCGAAGGAAGATATGCTTAAGAAAGGAGTGGATTCAGATATGACGGCTGAGAGAGATGTATGGAAGAGCAGCACATGCTGTACCGACCCTCCATAAGGGATAAGGGCAAGTGGATGATGATGATGATAACCTTTTTTCTTATTGTTTTAGAATCAGAATAGAATCAAGTGCAAAATGCCTGAACTTATCGAGCAGATGTACTGCTCGCAGCAGATTGTCATCCCGCCGAAGTTTCCCTACATCTTAAAGCGGTACTGCAAAGGTTAAGTATTATTTAAATACTTATTTCTATATCTATTTATACCGACATATAATAAAATTGAAGTGTCTGTTTGTTCAAAAGAAAAATTCCAGATTTCCAGGAGATGAAGTATTTTCATTGCTGATAACTAAAATCGCATTTGAAAAAATGTTTGTCTGTCTGTCTGTTCGCCGGACGTCGACCGGACTTTCACTAAGGGTAGCTGACATAGACGGGCATATTATAGGCTACTTATTTTTAATTCCGCGTTGTCAAAATGGTGTAACGGGTGTTAATTTGCGCTAATGAAGTTTGCGGGCGACAGCTCGTATCTTAATATTATAAAATAGTTATATTAAGGTTCTAGATATTTTAATCTATGTCTCAGGTTATATTGTATGTATTTTCAGCGGCTATAAAGACGCAGCCATACGATCTCCTACGCTGGTCGTATGAGTACTTCAATGCGCTTGCGCAGCATAAACCACCGCCTGTCAAGCTGAGGCTAGAATACCCTGTCTATACTACCGAAGGCGGACTTACACGAGGATGCTTGAAAGTCTTGGCTCAACAGGTATACATGATATACATGTAGAGATTTTTGCTCTATTGTAAAAATATACTTTAACTGGCTTTCGCCCGCGACTCTGTCTGCGTGGAATTAAAATAAAAACAAAACGCTTCGTGTTCTTCCAGGCTATCATCTACATCTATGCCCAATTTCACCGAGATCCGTTCAGTAGTTTAGGCTACAAACTCTAACAAACATCTATCCGTCCATCCATATAAACTTACAAATTTATAATATACTAGTAAGATTCAGAATAACATCTAATAAGATTGAAAAATCATGACATTAAAAAATCGGTATCTCGTAAAAATTTTTACATAAATTTCAACAACTTTCCCATAGATAATGATATATGAGACATTATGTTGTAATAGCCAGGGCAGTGGAAACTCTATTACAACATGTTGCAGTTGTCAACGATGGAAGAAGTACCATTGCCAGTGCTGAAGGCGGCGTGGCGCGGCTTCTGTTTAGACAACGAGGAGCTGCAGAGGATCTTGAGCCTTTGTGAAGTGTTCCTGCGAAAGGAGACTGTACCGTTCTTGCATTTCGTAGCCGTGGCTGCGGGGTTATTGACTAAGGTGACTAAGATTTAATTGGTAGCAAATAGCAAACGATGAACAGTAATACGAAGATTACTTTTCGATATTATTACTTTTTCTTCTCCTTTGGCATATTTAAAACTAGCTTTCGCCCGAGACTCCGTCGTTGGGGACCTAAAAAAAAAAGTAAGTAACCTATGTGTTCTTCCAGACTATCCTCTACAACTATGTAAAATTTTATTGAGATCAGTTCAGCCGTTTAAGCTACAAACTCTAACAAATATCGATCCATCCGTCCGTCCATACACTTTTCGCATTATTAATATTAGTTAAATTAGATAGTTGTAGTGTTAAACCATTCCTTGAAGTGTTGAATAATTATTTTAAAAAATGCTGTGATTGTTGACATCCTACGGCACGTAGTAATGTGTGTTTACGTTTTATTATATTAGTATAGGGATATAGATATAGGGATATAGATTTAACCAACCTTAAGCTTAATTAAGATTATTTTTGCAGACTCTAACTCACACAATGGTCTTGCTCTGCGAGACTTTGACTAAAGAGCCGGAAGGTGGTTCTGCAGCGATACCAGTGGATCACTTCCTCCAGATGTACGTACTGCTCGCTCGAATGGACGCGTCTAAAGACGTCAAATACATCGACGGTTATAGAGAAGGTAGGCAATCGTAATGTAACGTTTTTATTGCCGATAGTTTATGAAAGCTACGAATTTTTGTCAGGAATATAAAACAACTAGTTTTCCAACGCGACTCCGTCCGCGTAAAATAAAAAAAAGGGTGTATGTGTTCTTCTAGACATCTTTGCCAAACTCTAACCATATGTACATCCATCTAAGCTTTAACACTTATTATACTAGTAAGATTATTATTTTTCGCAGGTTTCGCTCCTGAGCCGGAAGCTGAATCCGTGAGCGAGATCTTGAAGTCTACAGAATCGCCGATAGAAGACGTAACCAGATTTTATTTTTGTTTTTCTTCTGCATGTTTTACGTAAAAGTTTAAAAATGCACTCTACTTCTCTAGTGTTATGGTTGCAAATGACTTGTCTTTTATAAATAGCAAATGATCGAGATATCGCATCTTTTATAATCTGAAAAATTCTGTAGTACTGCTTTATGACCTGACCGACGTGCCAACTCAAGCGTCGGGCCCTTCTAGGAGTCATCGGATGATTTCTGGCACGACAAAGACTTGAAGAAAATCAGCATTATAAATGACAATGTGCCGCGCTCCGCGAGGATCAGTATGAAATTGAATATGCCACTGATAGGGAAGTTGGAAAGACCACCGTCTGTGGAGAGAGCAGGACAAATTGAACGGGAAAACTACTTCAGAGAGAGACAAGGTTGATGTAACTTTTTAATTGTAATACGTAGTCCGAAGCAATAAGTTTCCTAATGCTAATGCCTGCAGTCCACAATAATTGATATTAGTTTAGCATCAAAGCACAAAATTTTGCATACTACACAAGTAAACTAAACCATTGTAAAATTTTTGGGTTTGTATACTTTTGTGTACTTATTATGTGCTTTTGGTCATTTGTGCAATTATTTATCATAGCTTACGCCATCTAGTTTTATAAAAATGAAATTAAAATCGAAAGAACGGCAATTTTATTTTCCTGCTTAATCACTAGATGGCGCTTATTTTATTTTAAAATTAGGGCATTTCTAAAATTGTATTCCCCAAATGGTACTGAGAAAATAAAGTTGATATGGAAAAATATACAGACGAATTGAGTACCTCCTTCTTTTGGGAAGTCGGTCAATAAAAACGGAATATAATGAAGTAACAATATTAATTTTTATTTCTAATTGTTCTTGTATTTATATCTGAATATCGATTAAATCTTTCAGATAGAGCTGAGCCTGACCAAGAAGTTGATGTTAGTTTGATTTAATAAACTATTATTATCAGTAAAAGTACATAAGGACCTTATAGAACGTTTTAATTATAAAGATAATAAAATAAATTTAAACATTGATGTTCAGGCTAGTGTTGGAAAGGGGGCAAATTTTCATATCTATTTTATATTTTTGAAGTCTAGTCTAGGAGGGGAGGGGGTAATTGCCCCCTCTGCTCTACCCTGGCTACGCCCATTGTTAGAGGCGATGTTACTTTTTTATTTGTATCATACAGTTAATGTATTATTGTTTTGTTCTTACAGCAAAAACTTCGGGAAATTAGTGCTTCGAAAATGACTCCTGAAGAAGCAGCAAAGAAAGGTTAGTTTTGCATAATATTGCTCTAAGAATAGAGCAAAAATAAAACTGTAGAGAAATTGTAACGCAAATTAGACTTTTATTATTAAATTCGCACTTTTAGAAATTAATTACTTTTCTAGCTGTGTTTAAAATACATGTCAACTGTCACATATCAAATGCAAGTCGAGCACAAAAATACGTGACGTAATTATAGTGATGTTCCTACAGATCTTACATGTAGTGCCACAGTTCCTTGGTTTATTTATTTTTATTTATCACAAACAGATGTACAGGCGGCGGACAAGCAAGCCGAATCAAAGAAAGATGGGATTCTTATAAATATCTACGACGAGGAGGGTGCTGTAATACCATACAAAATTTATGGTTAATTAGTTTTTTATTTTACTTTTTTTTAGATAACCTTACGTAGACTTTTTGAAATCTATGTTAAAGTGTTTAATTGTATAGGTGAATCGAAAGTAGATTTAACTGTGGAAGAATACGAAGCTAAGAGTGACGTAGAAAAGGAACAAGAGACAGAAAAATCTAACAGGGATGAGGAAATATCAAAAATAGAAGAACTTATTGCAGAAGTAATATATATTCTGGTTTAATATGTAGTTATATTTACATGTGCCAATAAATATTTTATTCTGGCGACAAATATTAGTAGTAACTTCCGGGTCTTGTTGGTCATTACGACAAAAAGATTTAATTTTTGATGGACCAAAGTCCAAACATTTTGTCGTGCGACATTATTATGACACTAGCTGTTCCCACGTGGCTTCATCCGCATAAAAATAATGAAAATTTTATTTTATTGTTTACATTTGTCAAATTGTCAATAGCAAATGTCAAAATGACATGACATGGCAAACCTTAGCAATCTCTCTTTCTTGATGTTGGCATCAACTTATGGTCTCTTTCCCACATTAGGGTTTTTATCCAAAATTTTTACCCCTATAAGTTTAATGGCGTGAAAACATATAGCCTAAAGCGTGACGCAAATGTAGGGCTTTTTATTAAACAAAGAATTATTAATAATATGTTGTAATTGCTGACATCTTAGGCAACAAAGAAGTGTGTGTTTACGCTTTGTTATAATAGTATAGAAGTATAGATAAAGATGTCGTATCACGGTGAAAGAGGCTCAGTTGGTTCTGTCAGAAAATATATTAAACCTACATGGACATGGAATAGTTAGCTATCATAATTTATTTTCTCTTAAACCAATCTTTTTAGATAAATTATACAGATGTATCGAAGAAACATAAAATCATGAGGTTTCTCTTAGGTCTTTGGTTTTCAATATATTTGTTTACTTTATATTTCTAATTTTAACCAGTGTTATGCGGCCCGCGAGGAGCGCCGTGCCGATCTGGAGTTCACATTCGACGAAATAGCTCTGATTGTCGATAAGTTTAAGACTGCTAATTATGATTTGGGTTAGATGTTAATTAATGTGTATTGGTGTAGATGTAGTGTAGTTCACGTGACTTCGCTTACATTTGTGAAAAGTAGCATTTTTTGTTTTAAGAGCGTTTATGACAACAGTAACAGTCACACACGAATTTAAAGCGTGCGCACACCTTTGAAATTCGCACAATATTGTGCGATTGTCGATTGTTTTATAGCCTATTCAACTGTTTAGTTGCACAACTAAAAATCATGTAGTGCTCCATATAAGGTCATAGGGATCAAAGCGAGGCTGAACAGTTGTGCGATCGTTTAGTTTTATGTGTGCGCACGCGCTTATAGTTACTCAATGTATGTAGAATGAAGAATCTAAACTAAGATTAACGGACACTCCTAGTTACTAAACGCAAGTGTATATCGGCGGTAAGAGTTCCAGAAATGTTTCAAAACTTTTTTCAACAAACTCGTCTCGAACAAATGCGGGCTTGCGGTCACCACTAATCGAATTGTTAATTCTTATAATACCAATTTTAATGATATAGATATCATACATGTAACTAAAAATAACCTTAAAATAGAGATTATTAAAACTTTGAATTATCAATAATATTAATATATCATTAAGTACCACTCGAATGTATAGCCTATTTATAGATTTATTTTATTATTATAGTTACTACGTGGTAAAGTTGTGGATGGCACATCTACTCAACACTTTTGAATTGTACTGTATTTTTTTTTCTTGTGCTATTGTTCTTTTACCCAAATAAATGAAAAAAAAGTTGGGTATTTCAAATCCTTGCAGTTGTAACATGGATCAGCTCTAACTATGGCTTCAAATAATGTTTTACATGATAGATGTAGTTATATGTTGATGTTCCAGGTATGATTGCCGGTAGACAGATGTCGACAACTAGCGGGGAGTTCATCGTGGAGCATGTGGAGAAGGAGATTATGGAGAAAGTCAACGAACAGATTGATATCCTGCCAGATCCCTCTTTGAAGAAGAAAAAGGTATTTTAACAGGATCACATAAATAAATCAATACTAGGTTAGCCTTTGCCCAACTTGTTTTCAATATGAATATAGAAAAAGGTAAATAATTACCTATTAAATAATCTAAATCTCTTTGGATTATTAAGAAAAAACTTGTTGAAATTATTATGAAATTTGAATCGATGGTACGAGGAAAGATTTGTATGTATTGAAATAACTCAAAAACTACTGGGCCGATTTAAAAAAACTATGATCACTAGAAAGCAACGTTATCAGTAACATAGGATATTTTTAATTTCACGGACGAAGTAACGACTGACAGCTAGTTTGGAAGAAAGCTACATTGTACATAAAACTTTTAACATTTCCAGGCTAAACCTGAAGAAGTAGCGATGGTACGGGATATCATAAAGAATTTTATTGACGAAAACATGGATGTTATTGTCCCTGAAGAGGAGGAAGTTGAAGAGGAGGAACTGCCGATACCGACGGTGCGTCAACTTGATTAGTAGGAACAACTATGTAATATTTTTTTTATATTATAAGGTAACAAACAAGCAAGCGACAACCTGAATCTACCGAATGGGAAAGCAACCGCTGCCCATAATCATCCGCAATTGCAGATGCGATGCTTACCCTTAATAAATACTACATTTTACCTTTCAATGCGTCTCCTCCACCGTCACATCCACTTTTTTTTCCCATCCTTTCCTCTTAAGAAAAGGATGGGATGGGAAAGGAACTGAAATTAGTCCTCCGACACCGCACTCATCAGACGAAACGTGGAATTGCTTCCACTTTATGCCTGTTTTCTGTGTGGTCGTGGTATTACACCGGGCGAGCCGACCCATTCGTGCGAAGATGTAAAAGCGGGCTCTATCACTGTTAAGCTTTGAAATGTTTTCTCTTAATCAATTATTAGTAAACCATCGGCAGCTCAGAGGTTTAAGCACTTGATTTGTAATCTAAGCCAATTACGAGAATAGACAAAATATTGTCTCATCTATATTAAAAAATCAAGCATGCATTTTCGTGTGGTCTAAATACCTTCCAGGGGGTTCCCATCAACAATACCATTCCATTAACCACAAATTTTGTCAAAATTCCCTTAAAAATCTCCTTCACTGAAATGTTCAACTCAATCTCTTATGTTAATTTTATCTTGTTTTTAAAAGATCGTATTTATTAAATAATTAGGAAAAAAGGTTAAAACAATGACAATGACTTACAAAACTAGATGTAGTTTGTAAGATTGATTTAGTTTTAAGGTAACTTATCTAAAAATGGTTGTTATTATGTTTAGATAATAAACGTATACGCGGTACCCGGTATCGGTCCGCCGGTGGAAGAGCACATCATAAAAGACGTAGAAGACTACGCTGCAGAAGTGGCGAAGGTTCAAGTCGAGCTGTTCATGCCGCGCAACATACGGCACTTTATGTGCCCACCCTTGGAGAAGTAAGCTTATTGCTGTTGTACTAGTGTTAAATCTTGTCCCTGTTTTATTCATCTATACTAGGGTTGTAACGGAACTACGCTTCCGCATCCGCAAATGCGGAACTACCGCAAGAAATGGTAACTCCGCATCTGCTCCGCTTTCGTTATTTCTTCCACATACGAAATAACTAATAAATTTACGTCTTTAACGCGAGTGGGGCGAATAGGTATCGTTTATGCGTCCCGCGCGGGTGTGATATGTCAACTAACTATAATTGTTATTAAAGGTGAAGCCATTCGCCTCCGCATCCGCATCCGCTTCCATTAAAATGGCCTCCGTTACAACCCTAATATATACTAATATAAAGTGGAAAACTTTGATTGTAATGAATAGGCTCAAATACTACTGGGCCAATTTTAAAAATTCTTTCACTATTAGGTAATTTATCTGTGAGTAACAAAGGCTATATTTTTTCATTTCTTTTTTACTATTTTTACAATTCACGCGGACGGAGTCGCGGGCAAAAGTTAGTAGATGTTAAAAGGGATACCTTTTTATAGAAATGTTACCACAGTTAATGTAATAAAGGAATAAGTTGTTGGAAATATTAGGTCAGTAAGAATTCTTTCCGGAAGGAATTTAGGGTTCTGATAAGCTTTAGAGTATAATCCAGTAAGGAGTGGAACAACAGAATGATTGGATTATCTTTTTAATAATGAATGTTTTTAGATGCATTGAAGATGTACCCGAAAAAACACCCAAAAAGGAAGAAGTTCCAATTGGTGGCGCCATCACAGACTAGAAGCACGAAAATGTTATTACCATACAGTAACTATAGTAGTTCTAAACTCTATTACGAGAGCAATTAATTATTGAATCTTTACTATTTTCAGATTTTCACAGTTAATTTTAATCAATTTTATTCAATATGTTACATGTTTCAATTCATTTTCATGTTAACTTTTGAACTTTATTCAATAAAGGATTTTTTCAACTATTAATTCTTATTTTTCTAGACAACAATTACAATAATTATTGGACTTACGAGCTTATTTTTATTATCTATTATTTTTAGTCTTTTGTCTAGTGTCTTTAGTTCTTTTTCCATAATTATTATACTTTATGTCGAATACTGAAAGGATTTTTTTCAAAATACTATAAGAGTTTACTTTTATTTGTAACCGCTGCTTACAATCTTCAATATTTTGAAACTTTCGTCAGTCTATTGTGGACCTAGTGACTTGGAACACAAGGATTGGGACAGCATTTTTAGAAAAAATGTTATAATAAAACAATTTAAACTTTACATTGTTTTTATTTTAATATATATGGAATAATAAATTAACCCCCCCATGTATATACCGACCTATCACCGAAACACGTGGCTGCCTACGGACTATCCCTTTCCCGTTTTGGCTAGGTCCAACATGGCCACCCTACACAATTTAAAAAATTACTAACCATTTAATTTTATTACATTTCAAAGCGATTATTTCTAGAACCTTTGTGTCATTTAATTTCGATATAAATATTACGTATTAAGGGTAACAACAAATGTCCAGGATGCCGTAAAGACCGAGCCAAACCGTCACCAGGACTATCAACCATTGAGCATTTTGTCAACCAGCACTTCATAACCTAACAATCCACCAAGATTTTGCAGATTCAATATAGCCATTACACCACTGGCACCTATGCAAATTAACTCGAAGCATACTCACATATACGATTTCCGAACAGATTTATCGACGCCATTTTGTTTCTTTATTTCGATAAACTCACGTAGTTCCAAAAATTATTAAGATACCTGAACAAAATGTTAACTGTAAATCTTTAATGGAAAATCAGTTCAGAAATCGTAACATTCACACATTTAGGTTCTACATTGTACAGTTGATAAAAAGAGAATTAATTTCACCACAGTTTATTTGGATTTAGCTCTGGGTTACTAAACTATATACACAATAATGCCTTGCACTAAATTGTATCCAAAACACTATTTCTTCCAAACAATGCTTCATAAGAATTAAATAAGCATCCATGAACGCAAAATCTATACAAGCTCTCCATAATAATTAAAAAAAAAACAGACAAGGTTTTTGTTCAAAATGTACATATAATATACTTACAAGCGAAAACAAATGTCTATTCATATATTCGCAAACTCGCCTTCGTTAGGAATCAATTCTTAAATTACACTAAGGGAACTTAAATTAGTTTAGCATTAGAAATTGGAATCGATTCGTATCGAATGACATATCGAGTCATAGTGACGTAGTCAATTATTGCAATCATAATATCGGAGTATCGATAGTTTGTGATACATTGAAGTACAGTCTCCAGAAACCGATCCCAAATGCAGCAATCGCTGTGCCAATTCCCGCGCAAGAACTAAAGCGTCCTGCGCAAAACTTAAGTTAAAGAGAAATGCTAACACTTAAACAACGTGTCGTATAAACTTAGGCAATACTTAACAAGTATAACTTACATAAAACCGGGAATTACCACTGCCGATATTTATATTGACATCTCTTTCACTCGCCAATGAAGAACAGAGACCACATTTGTACCTACAGCAATGAAAATTCCCGGAAACATGGATCATGTAAACATTGCTTGTAGCAGATAAAGTTGTACATTTGAAAGATAAATTGTTCAATTAAATAAAATTAATTTATTATAAGAATGGATAAAGCCAGCACGTTTTCCATACATCAAAGTCCGCTAAGGAAGACTATCAGCGTAATACGAATTAATTTAATTCTCACAATATCCTTGATGTATTCGCATCACGATTAAAAATTTACATCTAGCGTATAATAAAGAAACGTGTAAATAATGACAGTTGTAAAAAAATGAATAATAAATACTCTAACATTACTAAGGAAGCATGAAATGCAATATGGTACTAAAATGTCTATTCAAAAATGTTAATGTTACCGATCGATCGTGAATGACTCCAATTTACAATCTGTCCAGACAAATCATAATTTCTAATAGTGTCTGAATTCATTCGTTACGAAATTTTCCTCGTCAAACTACAAATGTCGCCATTGATGAACGATCGGTGACATCTATGGAAGCGAAGTTTTAAAAATTGTAGCGCATTTCGTTTACAGTTCAGAGCCAATTTTACTGAACGACAACCGTTTCTTTTCTAACAATAGCGCGTTTTATTCACTTACTTTATAGGACTTTCCCTAAACACGACAATTTGTTTAATCATTTCGAAGCTAGCGTTACATTTAATATTAATCAATCAATATTTTTATTTGATGTTAATATCAATTCTTAGCAGAATACATAACAGGAAACATAACTTTAACAATTGGATTTATAAAAACCGTTAGGTTTTACGTCACATGTCATGTAAAAAACCTAATAGTAAATAGACAATTAACAGAATGACTTTTTCTTTCTTTCACAATTGTTTTTTTAAAGAATTGAGGTTAGGTTACAAAATTAAAAATTAAATATCTCGGGATAATCAAAATTAGACATAAATACGGATATTTGAAAGTATCGTTTTGTAAAATACCAATAAAAATTCGGAAATAAGTAAAAAAGTTTTGTATGTAACATTTCTTGCAGAGGCAAAGTCTCTCCGTTTTTTAATTTCAATAAAGATGTTAAAAATATCTATCAACACTTTCTGACATTCCATAACAATCATTTGTAATGAATATTCCTAATATTTGAAATAACATAAATCTACATTGTTAATCAATTCCGACTTAATTATTTATCGGCTAGTTTTTCCATATTTTTGAGCTTTCACATTTATTTTAAATATAATAATGGAGAATTTGTAAAAAAACATTTTTTAACTAAAAATAAATAGTAAAAATGGAGTAACGTCTAAAATTGTATAATAGAAATAAATAATTTTTTATCTAAAGTTTTTACTATTACTGTTAAAAATCAAACAACTCGAAAGTTATTAATAATTTTAGATTGAAGTATTAGTTATAGGTATGTAGAAATTATGCTAAAGTCGATAGTACTACTAAAACAATTATTTTGAGATAAATTGACGATTTTTAATTCCAAAAATAACTAATATTGTAATTTCTCAGAAAATAAATAAATAAAATTGAATCTGATTCATGCAAACATGTATCTATTGATTGTAATTTTATTAATGTAATTACAACGATATTTATTTAAATCAGTAGCGATACACTATTGTATAATTATAACTATGCAATAACAAGGTTTGACTATATTTGAAAATACTTATTGAGCTGAAATATAGGTACAAAATCATTCGGAATTAACTTTTAACCAACGTCATAACAGAACTATCATCTAGCGCTCGAGAAGTCAAAATTCGCTACCTAAAAAAACCTTTCATACTGTCACAAATAACATTTATTTTTTAGGTTAATATAAGTCTCATCGCATCGTTTTCGTGGAAGCAAAAATTCAACAGCTCATATGAAGCTTACAATAAGAGAAAAATATCCCTAAACCGATTTATTTGCCGTTATCTTATTAATATCTATTGGTGTTAACTTTCGCGGGTTTTTGTCCGGCCGCCATTTTGTAACAAACGTCAGCGTGAAATTAAGGTACTTTGTCGCAGCGAATACGGAAGCATATTCCTAAATGATAGAGGGCGCTATCGGCGATGCGCGCTTTCATAGTCCGAAAGCGCAGCATCAAGCGATGGCGACCAGTAGGCGCGCCGCGCGCGTTAAGTATTCCACCACGAGACGCCACATGTGGCGCAGCGCGGCCGAGCGGCTGAACAGGAATCTCCACAGGAACAGCACCGTCGCCACTTGAGTCACGACGTGCACTATATGTAACCTGCCCAATTAAATCACACTGTTTACATATTACTCTACCTACGACGACACCAAATCTTCGTCTGAGAAGAAAAAGAATCGAGTATACGGACATTGCATCATTCAATCTATGGGCATAGGTAACTTATAAAATATTCTAACTTTCGCCCGCGACTCCGTCTGCGTGGAACAAATCAAAAGCGAGTAGCCAATGCGTTCTTCCAGAAGATCATCTACTATATCAAATTTCATCGAAATCCGTTCAGCTGTTAAGGCTGCAAACTCTAGCAAACATCCATCCATCCATCTAAGCTTTCGCTTTTATAATATTAGTTAAGTATGAATTCGAAAACTTTACATCAATTCTATGCGAATGGTTTACCTCCGGAGCAGGGAGCGCGACTTGGGCAGGGTGTCGGGGCTCTCCTTGAAGAGGAACCTCCGGATGCCGAGGACGTAGGACTCGATGTAGGCGTCCCAGTCGATGTTGGTGACGTCGAAGTCGAAGGTGGCGCGGTCGTCGGCGGCCAGCGCGCCGCACAGCGCCTGCACGTTGTCGTCCGCGAACGCCCACTGGCGCGTCGTGAAGTACTCCAGGCACGCCGACGCCTTCTCCAGCTTGTTCTGCACGCGGACCATCCTGCAAATATTCACACACTATCGTCTTTTGTCTAATACTAGCTTTCGCTCGCGACTCCGTCCGGGTGGAATTTAAAAAAAAAACATTGTAAAATATGGCCTATGTTACTCACAGAAAAATTTTCTAACGCTCAAGAAAAAAAAATCGGCCCAGTAGATTTTGAGCCTATTTATTACAATAAAACAATGTTTTCCTCTTTATATCAGTGTGAAATTGATTGATTGATTGCAAAATTATTCATTTTGCAGTAATAGTACCACTCCATGGCATGCAAACGTGCCAGTACTGGCATATGTGTCGTACGTACATGGGCTTGTTGCCGGTGGCGCGGGAGACGAGGTCCATGAGGTGCGCGGGCAGGCGGTGCTGCAGCAGCGACAGCGCGCCGTGCTTCACGCGGTTGCCCGTGATGTCGCCGCCGGGGTACCACACCACCTCACCTGCAAACACAGAAATTATCAATAAAAACAACAAACTACACAAAAAAACTGGACCACAAAACGATTAGAACTATGTGAAAATATATTCTGTCGGGAATATAGTCCATTAATTCTTGCTTCAGCTGTCCTTT